GGCCCGGAAAGCGGGTTCTGGGTGCCCAGTGAGGGCAGCCGCCCCCCTCTGCCCCCTGTGCCCGTGCTGTGAAGCTCTCAGGGGGCACAGCAGCGTCCTGGCTGGCCACACGTGCTGGAAGACACTGCTCTGAAGGCCACACGCCGGGGCCACTCCTACCTCTGCCACTGTTTCCTGTGTCCCTGTGGGCGCCGGACTCGAGCTCTCTGGGATGCAGTTTCCTCAGCTGGGAATGGGGATGTTAATGGTCCCCTGTGGCCTCAGGGAGGATGGCAGAGCAGTGGACAGTCAGCCCTCAGTATGGTGGCTGGGTTCAAGGCTAGCCTGGGCAACATAGCAAGACCCTGTCTCTAAAAAAAAAGAGAGAGCTGAAAGAATAGGGAAACAATCTGTAAGCCAAAAAGCAGAAAAGGGTGAGAGAGGTAAAAGGTGGACCAAAATTGTACCAGCAAAGTAGAGGAAGATGTGGAGTGCAAGAATTCAACACAGGCTGGGCGTGGTGGCTCACACCTGTAATCCTAGCACTCTGGGAGGCCGAGGCGGGAGGATCGTTTCAGCTCAGGACTTCGACACCAGCCTGAGCAAGAGTAAAACCCCATCTCTACTATAAATAGAAAGAAATTAGCTGGACAACTAAAAATATATAGAAAAGATTAGCCAGGCATGGTGGTACATGCCTGAGGTCCCGGCTACTCGGGAGGCTGAGGTGGGAGGATCACTTGAGCCCAGGAGTGGAGGCTGCAGTGAGCTATGTATTGTACTCCAGCTTGAGCAACAAAACAAGACCCTGTCTCTAAAAATAGATAGATAGATAGATAGATAGATAGATAGATAGATAGATAGATAGATAGATAGATAGACAGACAGACAGACAGACAGACAGACAGACAGACAGAAGATCTTAACAGATGCCAGGGGGGATGAAATCTACCCCCTGCCCCCCATGAGCTCGCTGCCCACAGGCTACCTATGGGGACAGCCACCACACCCTTTGTTGAGAGATGCCAGGCAGGTGGCTTTGTGGGCATCATGTTATCTGTAGGAAACCATGGCAGGTCTCTAATCTGGCCCCTTCAATAATAGATGAGAACATTGGGTTTGAAAAGGGAGAGGGGAGATATTTGCATATATTGCCTCATTTGCTAGGCAGACATGAGACTTGGGGCCAGACACTACCACTGAGGGCTGGATGTTCCCGGGCCCAGTGCAGGTGGGCACGCGGAGAGCCGGTGCTCCTAAAGCCACGGGACACGCCCCATGAGGGCCAGGAGAGCCCTGAAGGCCCTGGCGCACAGGCCACACGGCCGCACGAGCTGGCCCTCCTTGGCGCACGATGGCTGTGCCTTGGAAGAAACCCCCCTCTAACGACGCGAGCCGGCTGCCGGGGCCTGCGCTGGCACTGCACGCCCCACTGCTGTTCCCGACACAGCACCCGGCCCAAACCCAAACCAGGCCCTGCCAAGAACGGCTCTCCCCGACCCCTATCCGAAAAGTCCCCCGCCGGCCGCCCCTCTGTCTCGCAATGGCCATGTCGGAGCGGACAGGCACAATCGCCCTTTTGCCCCGGCTGGCCACGGTGTCCTGAGGAGAGAGGCCAACACAAACAGCTCATAAAGTCAGTCCGGAAACCAAGTTTCCAGCTCCGGGATGATGATCGTCTATTTGTTAGTGGTGGACCACACTTCCTGGGACGGCTTCCCACAGCCCAGGGCCATCTGTCGTGTCCCCTGTCCCGAGCCCAGAGGTGTCGCTGGCAGTGCGGTCTCCGTGGACAGCAGCTGCTTGGGGACTCTCTCCCCACACTGCCTTCCTCCCAGGCCCCGGGCAGGAAGGACAGGCACAGCTGCAGGTGGCACAGCGGCCCGGCCAGCCTGCAGGTGAGGCGGCCTGGGGGACGTGCGGACTGGCAAGTGAAGAGGCAGCGTTTGTCTCCCAGCAGGAGCCGCAGTTACCCCGCTCCGTGACAACCGAGGCTCTGCTGAATCTAAGAACCATCTGGCAGGTGTCTCCCTGGAGGGCACCTCTGCAGCCACCTCGCACGTGGCCGTCTGTGGACAATTCACTCTGCGGATGGTCTCGGCCAACCCGGCCCCACTCGGCAGCCTCTGGGCTCCGGCGTGGCCGCAGGGCGCTGACGCTCACGTGAGCGAGACTTTACGTGCAGGAGAAGCCGCGCTAAGAAACTGGATGTTCCCCACACACCAGACGCGGTCAGTTCACAGCACGGAATGCAGCTCTCAGGCCATCTCACCTCTGCAGGATGTTGTAGGGGCCAACGAACAGGCCACGAGGCCTCTCAGCAGCCAGAAGAGCCGCCACCACCTCCAAGCCCAGCAAGCTCATCCCCGTCTCCCCGGGCACCTCCCTCCCAGCCCGCGACACGCACGGGTGAGCTCGTGTGCGTGGCCGCCTCGCCAGAGCACACGGTTACCGGGACCCCTGCAGGTGGAACGCCAACACCCTCGAAACCTGCCAGCTGCCAGCCAAGCGCAGAGATGCGCGGGACTGTGCAACCACATGAAAAGACACCCTTGAAAATGCGCCCTGCCACCACGCAGGGCAAGGACAGACAGCGGCACATCCGTGAGTAGGCTCTGAGCCGTGTCCCAGAATGGAGCCTGGCACGTTGCAGCACGCAAATACACACACACACATACACATATATTTATTTTTAGCTTGAAACAGTTGCAATTACGTTTTCCTGAGTTAATCATTAGCACAACAACTGCCGAATGGAGATCTTCCTAGCCCCACCGTTTCTTGCACGCTGGCCAGTTGGCATTCCACCGTGGGGAGCAGCTTTCTCTTCTTCCACACTTACTTATTTATACCAGCGTGAGCTCATGCATGACTATTTAATGGCTTTTAATCCATTACTATCCTTATATATTCTGCTCCTCAAATGTCTCAGATCGGGCCGGTGGCAGCCCCTTCGAGCTGTTTCCATGTCCTTTTGACATGTCTGCATCCCACTTTGGGCACATCCGTGCTTTCTGACATAAAGAGATGCTCCAGGCTTATCTTGAGTTTTTCCTGTCCCAGCCCTGGAATCAGCCGTGTCTCCAAGGAGTTCTGTCCCCTCAGGGGAAGACAGCATTGGAAACCATCAGCCTACAGCAAACGGCAACCAGGTCCGCCATGGGCTATGTCAGTATCATCGTTTCCAGGCCCCCCCAGGACAAAGGGCCCAGAAACATTCCCGTGCCTGTGTGTAGGTGTGTGTGCACAGTCGTGTGTTGAACGATGATGTTTTTGTTAACAGTGGGCCACATATATGACAGTGGTCCCATGAGATTATAACACCATGTTTTTATACTACCTTGTCTATGTTTGCATATGTAAATACTTGCCATTGTGTTCCGTGGCCTGCAGTGCTCAGCACGGTAGCATGCTGCACAGGCGTGTAGCCTCGGAGCAGGCGGCGATGCCTCGGAGCCCAGGTGCGTAGCAGCCACCCCATCTAGGTTTATGCAAGTACACTCTGTGACGTTTGAACAACGATGAAATTGCTTAAGAACACGTTTCTCAAAACATATCCATGGTTAGGTGACATATGACTGTGTGTCTATATCACACATTTACATCTATGTTTATTTCTATGCTTACCTATGTTGAAAACCATGGGTCCACACCAATACCTCCAGTAACACGGGGTTCATCCTACCTTCCCCTTTCCATATCTATAACTCCCTTTTCCAACAGAGAACACTGGCCTCTGGAACCCTCCGTATATTGACGTATCTGGTCCATCCCTCTGTGTGTAACCGAATTCTCCAACCACCAGGCTGCCGCCTTCCTCATATGGCTTTGAACCTCCGCCAGGAACTATTCCCTGTTGGGACTTTCTTTATAAAATAGCTTTAGTGAATTATAAATTATTTACCATAAAATTAACTCACTTTAAGCGTACTATGATTCAATGATTTTTAAGTACATTTATAGAGTTGTGTAGCCTTCACCACAACTCAGTTTTAGAACACTTCCATCACCCCCACACACGCCCGGTGCCTGTCTGCAGCTACCTGCTATCCCCAGGCAACCTGACCTGCCTTCTTTCTCTTTAGATCCGCCTCTTCCATAAATTTCATACAAAGGGAATTACGTCTTTTTTGTCTATAGCTTATTTCACTCAGCATACAGTTTTTGAAGTTCATCCACGTTGTACCATGTCAGTAATTCCTTCATTTTTATTGCCACATTGTATTTCATTTTATGGATATTTCAGACTTTGTTTATCCATTAACCAAATTAAGGGACATTTCCGTTGCTGCAAGTGTGGGACCATTATGTATCTTGCCGCTACGAACGTTTGCGTGCAAGTCTTTGCGTAGACGCATATTTTCGTTTATCTTAAGTAGCGTGGCAGGCACAATATCGAGCTCCCAGATTGCTAATCAGCTGACTTTAAGAAAGCAAGATTATCCTGGATTATTTATGTTATGTGCACGTCCTAATCCCCAGAATCTGTGACTATATTACACGGCGAAGGGGAATTAGGGTTGCGAATGGAATGAAGTTTGCTAATCGGCTGACCTTAAGAAAGTGAGATAACCAGGATTAGGCCCAGCCTGATCACAGGGCTCCTTCCAAGTGGAAGAGACAGACGAGGATGTCAGAGGAAACGATGTGAGAAGGACGTGGCCCACGCTGCTGGCTTTGAAGATAAAAAATAAGGCCATGAGCCAAGGAACTGTGGCAACCTTTGGAAGCCAGGATAGGCAAGGAGACAGACTCTCCCTTAGGCCCCGACAAAGGAGCACAGTCCTCTGCTCACACCTCGACTGCGGCCGGCAAGACCCTGGCGGGCTCTAACCTATCCCCAAACCGCAAGATCACGAACCTGTGTTACGCCGCTACATTTGCAGTGATCTGTTACAACCTTGTTATAACACCAGCACAGGTCGACACCCGGAAGTGGGTATCAGGTTGGACAGTAAGTTTAAGTTTTTAAGAGACAACCAAACTGTTTTTCAAAATAGATGTACATTTTACATTCTTACCAGAAAATGTATGATCCTGATCAGTTTGTAGAGCCCTGAAATGGTGGTTTCTGACAGTTTCATCATTGCTTTTTGGGGAGCGCATTGGCCAAGCTTCTCAGTCTGGCACACAGAACCTGAAGGCTTTTCAACTGAATGATCGAAAAAAGAAAGACGAAAAGAAAGAGAGGAGGAAGGGAAAAAAGGGCAAATATTTGTTATTGACTCATTGACCATACTGAGGACAAATTCCAGGGGTTCAAACCCCTCTATGTCACCTCGTATTAGGTGTATGACTCTGGGCAAACTGTCTTGCTTCCCTGAGCCTCAGTGCCCCCACCATAAAATAGCATTAGCAGTCATACAGTCTGCCTCCTGGTGTGTGATGAGGACTAAATACAACAATACAATTGAAGCGCAGCCAGTGCTGGGCCTGTGAGAGCTGTCAATCGTTGCTAACGCTCCTAATAGTCAGGCCAACAAGAATAGGTTAAGTCTTGTCGATTCTGCTCTATTTAAAATGATAAAAGGATGTGTAATTAATAGTAAAAACCACAGGGCATGGGTTCCTAGACAGGAAAACAGTTGTCCTAGTTGACATAGTTTTCAAGTCACTCCTAGATTTCAGAAACTTAAAATTTAACAGCGGAATCTTACAAATCACCTGTTGCCAGTGGTGATTATCCACATGCCACTAGTTCCTCCGTCAGTAACAATTCTACACGGCAGCGTAACGTTTCATACTTAACATCTTCTCGGTATATACTTTCACGTGATCGTCTGTGCAGCCCAGTGGATAGATTAAACGAGAATTATCCCATTGCACAGACTGAGAAAACTGAGGCCCAGAGCTGTCAAGTAATCGACTCGAGGCGCTACAGAGAGGAGGCGGCAAAGCTGCTTCTTCGGTTTCCTTTTTTGCAAGGAATGTCGCCGTTTCCACCCACGGGCACGGTTCCCTCCTCTCTGGCGCTGACATTGTTCGCTGGCTAAATGCGGACAAGATGAGGGTCCACCAGATCCGCGGATGCTGACGGCACAGTCACGTCCGCGAGCGCGTGCCCATTTCGTTGCGGCTCTGCTCGCCGTGCTGGGGGCAGCCGAGCCCGGCCTGGCGGGGGTTGGGACTCTCCGCTCCAAAGAGCGGGCCACGCTTACGTCGGGCTGGCTTCTCTTCTGAGCCCAGCAGCATTGTTAATGCATTTGTAAAGACGGAAATGCGTCGAGGCCCCCAAGGCCAATCACGCGGGGCGAGCCCCACACCTGCAGAGCCCACGGCGGACGCCTTGCCAGCGGTTCCCGGCCCTGCCGACGGCGCCCGCGCCAGCCTCCCCGGCACAGGACCCGCCGTCTCAGACACGTCCTCACGACGGCCTCAGCCTTACGTCCTGTCACTCTCCCCATTCCACAGATGAGGAGGCAGAGGCTGAGAGAGGTTGGCCGACTTGCCCAGGTCACACAGCAGGCAGATGATGGACCCAGGCCTCGAACTCGGGTCACTAGGACTCAAACCTCCTCCACGAGCTCCTCTTGCCTCTCCTGCGTCCCTTGCCATGTAGACACCTGCTCCCACCCAGCCCTCGCTACGCCCCCTCCGACCTGAAGGCCACAGCGCAGAGGCCGGACAGCTGCGTGACGCAGGGGAGGGAAGGCAGAGCCGTCTCGGCCACCCAGGCCCGCTCCGTGCAGCCGCCGCCTCACAGGCTCACGGACAAGGGTGCCGCCCGACGCGGAGCCCGAGCAGAGACGGCTGGGGCGGGGCCGTCTGTGCAGGAGGCAACGCCCCGGGACCCACGGAACCTGCCCGCTTTGCTGTCCTCGTGTCTTGCTCTTATGGCTGGGGTTGCTGCTCTGGGAAAAGCTGACCCGTGAGATAAATCAGCGTCGCCTCACCCTCTCGAGCTGTCTTTCACAGAGGAAGAGCAGAGAACGAGAGCAACGCGGCGTCGCAACAGCCCGTTCCAGACCCGAGATGGACGAGTCAGAGGACCAGGAGCCGGGTCTGTCTGTCTGTCTCTGTCTCATCCCGCGCGTGCACAGACGCACGCCAGAGTGCACGTGGCAGCCCCAGAGGCTGTCTCGGGGCTCTTCCCCAGGCTCGGTTCCAAAGGCTGAGAAGCGCGGGCCCTGCGTCCCAGCCAGCCACGGCGACAGCCCAGGGGGACACACGGGGAAGGGCCACCCCCACCTGTCCCCAGGATGCCACTGGGGGCCGGGACGTGTCTCCCACCCACTATCAGAAGCGCTGGAGAGAGGGCCCACGGCGGCATGCAGCTCCCTGGGGCGTGTGGCCTTGGGGCGACGGCCACCGAGAGCAGCTGGCCGCCGTGCTGCTCCCCACACTCCTGGGCCGGGCGGGCTGGGGGAGTGCAGAGGGGGCAGCCCAGAGTCCCTGATTCTGTTTTTGCAGGGGGCCATTGCAGTCATTCCTTCGTGGCTACCTCCGGCAGCAGGCGTGCTAGGAACTGGTGACCAGCACGGGCACAGCACGCCACGGTCTCCAAGCCACGTAATTCACGCGTGTTCCTCCCCAGCGACTCACACAGTGCTACTGCCGGACAGGGCAAACATCACTCCCATTTTACAGACGATGTCCCATTTTACACACCGATGTCCACAGGTGACTTGTCCAGGGCACAGAGCAAGGAAGTAGCCAAACCAGGCTGGGAACCCAGACAGGAGAGTGTAGACAGGCCACGCACCACGACACACCCCAGCCACCCACTGGCACCTTGTGGCAGGAAGGGTGTGCCGAAGAGCAGCACACAAGAAACCTTTTTATACTCCCCGTGCCCTGATTCCTGAGATGAGGGGTCAGCACGCCCCCCACCCCCCGCCTGTGCCTGTCCCCTCGGTGCTGGGGCGGCCCTGCTGTCACCGGCCAATCGCTCCCCTAGGCTCCCAGGCTAGCGCCAAGGACAGGCCTCTATTCAAGTCCTAGGACCCCACTTTCCAGCGGTGGGGCTTCCCCTCCCCATGCCCAACTGTGCTCATCTGTAAAATGGGCACAGCAAACTCGACTGGCTCACGCAAGCACTGCAGGAGCTGAGCACAAAGCACGTGCCACACTCCCTGCCACACCTAGCCGGGGTGACTCCCTGGCGCGCAGCCCGGGACACTCCAGGGTCAGGCCCCGCCTGCGCTGACCAGAGCCCACAGGCCGGCGGCTCCCCTGCCCGCCTCGGGCGGGGGGTGGAGGGGGGCCGAGGAGGTGTCCCACGAGACCTGCCGCCTCGTGGCCGGGCACTCCCGTTCTCGCCTTTGTCTGTGCCCCTGTAACCGAGAGGGCTGTCTAGACTGAGCGGCTACTGCGAGTAATCCCGGGAAAATCTCCCTGAAACCCGATCCCACCCCTTATCGAGGGGCAGGCAGATTAGCCTGACTGATCGGGCAAGGGACGCCGGGACCTTAACGCCATCTCGTGTGTCTCTGCGCAGCGGCGGCTCTGGGCAGGGCGGGAGCCCCGGGAGGAGGCTGTCCTGCGGGTCTGGGCGCTAGTAATCGCCCCACTACCACGCCCGCCACGAGGGGTGCTCTGCGGGACCCAGGGCTCCTGCTCGGCCTCACGTGCCCCACACCCTGTGTCTATCTTCATCATCATCACCACCACCATCACCATCACCGTCACCCCCTCTCTCTCGGGCACGAGCCTGCGCCACTTGCTCAAGGTCACCCAAGGAGAGAGCAGCACGGCCTGTTCGCCGCGGGGGCTCAGCTCCGCCCACGCTGGCACTCTGCCCTGGACGTTCACACGGCTGCGCAGCAGCCCACGGCCCTGGCCACGGCTCCGGACGACCTGCCACCTCCTCCGGCAAAGTGGCCCTCGACGCCGGCACGGGCGTGGAGGTGCCCTGTCGGCCGTGCGCACCTGCCCGCCAGCACGTGACCACAGGCAATCGCGCTCCTCTGTGCTCATACGAACCATCGCGCTCGGGGACTGACGGGAAACAAGCAAGGCTGCCCCGAGCCGCCGGCACCGAGAGCGGCTGCCAGAACGGGCGTGACGCCCTCGGAGAGGGCAGGGCTGCTGCTCACACGTGCAGACCACGGGCCAAGAGCCGAAGAGCCATCCTGGCCACAATCTGCCAGTCCCACGAGGGCCAGACGCAGGGGAGTGTGGCTGGTACGTGCTGCGGTCCACGTGCTGGGGGAGGGCAAGGGGAGAGGAAGAACCAGTCACTGCCCGACCTGTGCCGAGGCCAGCAGAGAGCCGTCCACGCCACGAGCACTCAAGTAGGCCACCCCTGACTCCCACCTACCTCTGCCACTCACCTGTGTGGCCACGAGATGCCACCTACCCAACCTGCGCCTCATCAGCTCCGTTGTACAAGTGGGAGTGCCAGCCACCCCCCCCACCCTGCTAGAGGGTGAACGAACCGACCTGTGCCCTAAACGCAGGCTGAGTTCTGCCCGTGGCAAGACTCAACTCCCTAAGGGCGAAGCCCCCGGCCGGAAACTTCTATGAGGACTCAGAATCGACGTGACCTGCCCATGACACGTGGCCTTCCAGCAGCAGCAAGGCGGGAGAGCCACGTCCCGTCCCGCCCTGCGGTGACTGCTGGAGTGAGGAGCCGGGTGGCCACGCTCAGGCTGTCCCCGTCGCTGCCCACGGTGCAGGTGCCCGGGAGTCCGTCTACCTGGGACGCCACCACCTGGCTGGCACTGCGATGCTCAGAGGCACCCACTGAAAGCAGGGCCGCTACGCCTGGGACCTCATGCCGCAGACAGGGAAACTGAGGCCCCCGAAGGTTTCGCCAAGGCAATAACGCAGGCTTCCCCTTAGGACTCGGAAGGAGTTTCCATGGAAGCATTATCAGCTCGTTAACTAGAGTGGGTGACACTGATCCCCCGGTAATACCTCCTGCAGGTTTTTTTTGCAACCTGAATACCCAGCTGGGGTCCTAATTCATTTCAGCAAATGGCATTGATGCACTTCTGTCTCTGTGATCTCAGCTTGGATAATCCCCACTCTCCTGCCTTCCTGTTGACCAGGCAGCACCTGCGCGACCAGCAGCCCCACCCTGCCCTCTTACTGTGCCCCTGTGCGGGCCCGGTGTCCCTGCCCAGCCCCCTCCTGCCTTCCGCATGGTGGTCCCTTGGGCTCTTGTTAATCCACCTGCCTCAACCAGGCAGCCCACCCACTTGGCCAGAGCTCGGGCCTTCAGCTCAGATAACCCACCGACTCCTTCTTGCCTTGACTTCACGATCAGGCCAGGAGCGGCCGCCACGCCAAGCCCTCCCCCAGCGATGGGCCCCTGCCACGGACGGCCCTGGCCGGCGGGACACAGGGCAGCTCCCGGCTGCGAGGCGCCTTGGACATCAGGGCGCAGGGGCAAAAGGTGCGTGTCTCCCTGCGAGGCGGCGCAGTGCCATCTCCCTCGAGGACAGCAGAAAGACGAGACACAACCCCTGCCCTCCGGAACCTGGAGCCCGTCTGACCACGGCTGGGCCTGCGGGGGCCGGAGAGAGCTGAGCCGTGACTTGGGGTGTTGCCTAGAGAGTCAGGCAGGAGGCCGGGACACAGGTGTTCCTGGGGAAGGGAAGGCGCGAGGGAGAAAGGCCCAGGAGGGAAAGGCACGGCTCGGGGGTCTCTTGGGGTAAGGTCGCACGGGCTCAGACCACAGGGGAACTGTACGCCACGCGCAAAGGGAGCCACTGCAGACGCAGCGCAGGGCTGAGTTCTCGAGAGACCACGCTGGGGGCAGGGGAGCAGGTGGATGGGGGGTACAGGGCAGAAAGGGGAGCACTGAGGGGCTGTCGCAATGGTCCAGGTGACAGGGGTCTCCAGGACCCAGGCTCTTTACCATTGGCAAGCTGTGTGACTTTGGGCAGGTGACTTAACCTTTCTGAGCTTTCGTCTCCTGCAGAGCCGGATGTAGGGAGACTCCAACAGCAGGGCTGCCTCGAGGATTGAACCTGGTAACACATGAAAGCATTTAGCGCGGTGCCTGAACGTGGAGTAAATGCTCAATAAATGTTTGCTCAGAGAAACAAAAAGGCAAAGGCTGAATTCTAGAGCCTCCTCCCTCCCCCATCTCCCCGATCAATAAAAGCAGCCCTTTTATCTAAATCCCCGGGGCCAAAGGGAAACCAAACACAGCAGCTGCAGCTCTGCTCCCAGGACCCGCGCCCCGCCCGCAGGGGGGCTTCTCCCGCTGGGGTCCACCGCCACCGCCACTGCTGCTGCCGCCGCTGCTGCGGCCAAGGAAAGAATGCGGCGCGTGACCTGCCCGTGAACCTGCCCCGGCCTCCGCACACAAGCATTGCTTCTGCCTCGGCAGCGCGGGCAACCCCGGCCCAGCACGCCGTGCCCCACTGGGGAGCCCGCCAAACCCGGCTGGCCTGTGCAGAGTCACACACCTGCCAGGGCTCGGCTGCCTGAGACCGACGCCGGGACACGAGGGAAGAAAAGTGAAAGAAAAATGTGTTCTTAATGTTCATGACTCCGGTGGCGTTTCTGTGCACGGCACGGAGTTCCTGCATAAAGACGAGAAATTCAATCCGGTGTAAAACGCGCTTGCTAGGGGAGGGGGTAACACAAGCTCTTGAAACCTTGAGAACTTTCTGTTGGTCTTTTCACAAGACAACTGTGGGATCTTCCAGGTGGGCCCAGAGGTCAGGAGGTGGGTGTTTCTGCAGATTAGAGGGGAGGCGGATCAGCCCAGTCCCGGGGACATCGGAGACGAGTCCTGCTGGCGGCCTGCTGGATGGTGTGGTCCTCAGCCGCCCCATCCCCGGGAACTCGCAACCTGCGCTGGGCGAAGGCACGCAAGAAGGCACGTCCACGCATGGAAGTGGGACGATGTCCTTGACCGTCTTTGAATCACATTTATTTCCTGCAGTGAGATGTGACATGCAGCGAAAAAAGCATGGGCCTGAGGGTGGGTGAGATCCCAGGTTTGAATCCCATTTCACAGCCTAAAAGCCACATTGCCTACCCAATTAGACCCTGAGCAACAGGTAAAAAATGAAGATGACGCGACCTGCCTGTGAGGGCCATCGTGACGCTGAAGTCAAACAGGATTACGCCCGTAAAGCGCTGAGCCCTGTGCCGGGCACGTCACTGGCACCCCATAAATACCTGTCCCCGTCCCTTTCAGACTACAGCACACCTGCTCCACCACGACCCCAGTGGTGAGCCAGTGGATCAATTATCCAGATAAAGCAAAATAATTTTTTAAATGACTATCACTAGATAACTGAAACAACAGGGATTTGTTTTCCCCATAGAAATTATCTAAATAAGTCTCAAATTTCTTATGGGTACAATAGACGCAGACAGATAAACAAGGGGCTGCCTGGCCTTGGGTAAAAAACTAACCCCTGGTCATATTTCCAGAGGACGGAAAGACAACCTCGGCCTTGCAGAAAGTGGGATAAAAATGCAATTCCCTATCTCACAATAATTGCTGAGTAGTGAAAACCACGTTAAAGAGAAGCCTCGGAGAGGTACAAAATTCATGTTAAAATGATAGGAATTAAAAGTCTTAATAAATGTGACTTCACCTTTCAACTTCACCTTAAAAAACAATGTTTGTTTGTTTGTTTGGAGGCAGAGTCTCATTCTTGTTGCCCCAGCTAGAGTGCTGTGGTGTCAGCCTAGCTCACAGCAACCTCAAACTCCTGGGCTCAAGTGATCCTCCTGCCTCAGCCTCCCGAGTAGCTGGGACTAGAGGCATGTGCCACCATGCCCGGCTAATTTTTTTCCTATATATTTCTAGTTGGCCAATTAATTTCTTTGTATTTTTAGTAGAGATGGAGTCTCGCTCTTGCTCAGGCTAGTCTCGAACTCCTGAGCTCCAAAGATCCACCTGCCTCGGTCTCCCAGAGTGCTAGGATTACAGGCGTGAGCCACCATGCCTGGCCAAAAAGCAAGCTTTTTAAATTGATTTATGTTTTCAGTTTTTAGCTCAGAATATCTAAGATTAGACTGAGGGGATATAAAATCAGAACTTTCAAATGAGGCACTGACTCTAGCAACATAGCAAAACTTTGTGGACTGAAGGTTTCGACTGACATCTTTTCCCTTTCAACTTCATCAAGGCACAATTTACATAAAGGAGGATGTCCCCATTTTGTGTGCACGGGTCGTCGAATTTTGACAAAACACACATGTAACCCACCACAGTCGAGACCTAGAACATTTCTGTCTGCCCAAAATATCTCCTCGCCCCCAGCCAACTGTTTTATTTATTCCAAAACGGCATATAATGGGATTGTCGCGAGATGTGCAGCTTTCCCTTGTCCACGGGGACACTTTCTATAACAAGATCGCCAGTGGATGCCGGAAACCACAGACAGCATGGCGCCCCAAGGATACTATGCTTTTCGTACCTATACGTACCTATGATAATGCTTAATTCATAAATCAGGCAGTTGGAAATTAACAACAATAAAATAGAACAATTGTAACAACATACTCTAACAAGAGTCACGTGAATGTGGTCTCTCTCAAAACTCACCTATTTTTTTTTTTTTTTTTTTTGAGACAGTTTCACTCTTTGCCCAGGG